GAGAAGCTGGGGCGTCCCCAGCCCTGGCAGTGTTCAAGGCCAGGTTGGACACAGGGGCTTGGAGCAACCTGCTCTAGTGGAAGGTGTCCCTGCCCGTGGCAGGGGATTTGGACTGGATGAGCTTTAAGGTCCCTTCCAACACAAACCATTCTATGATTGTGCCCTTCTCTACTGGCAGAAAGTATTTAGAGCAGGAGCTCTAATATTAAACTTGTACTGGGTTATAAATACTCCCTGGCAGCCAGGGTAACTTCCCCCTCTTCATGCAGATGGAAGCAGTCACTACAAGTAGCCCAGCTTGCACTGATCTAGAGCAGTTCAGGCCCTCAGGAACCAGCAGCACACACAAGAGGAGTTGACAGCAGGGCAGTGGGCAAGTTACAGGTACGGGAAAATGCCGTATCCACTGTTCTGTGGTCATTACTGGTCCCAAAATCAGGATTTATAAAGTTGCTGACAGTTGCTGACAAATCAGATGGATGGGAGTTGCTTAATGCAAACTGGAAGGTATCTTTCAGCTGCTGCCAAAACACATGGAAATGGTAACTTACGCTTTGGAGATCATTAGGACACTTGGGAGCTACTGGAGTGTACTGTGAAAGGCATTACTCAAAGTTCAGATTGAAAAATTTCTTAAGGAATAACTAACAATGTTGTAAGGGTAATGCAAGCATGAAAACCATCATTCCTAGTGCTGCCCTGGGATGAGTATGTGCCAAAGGAACACAGGGAGAGAAGCTTTCCATGCTGGAAGATGAGACTGTGCTCTGTAAGTAGGAGAGCAGCCATCAACATGATGAACAGTTGTTCCTCTTGAACTGGCAGCTTCTCCTGGCAGCATACATAAAACTCCAAAAGGCTTTATTTTATAAATATATGGAAGTAGAAAGGAGGAAGCCCATAACTAATAATAATCCGGAGAGTGGAATTATACAGAAACTGTATGATGGAAAAAGCAGGATAAAATGATTATGGAAGTGGAGTAGGATTTCTTCCACAGACATAGGAGACATTCCTTAAACGTGCATTTACATAGTCCATAAGAAGTCTGAAGAAGGAAAAGGGCAAGCTGCTTGGGCTTTAATCCATGTGGGAAGGTCAAAGTGTGAGCTATGCTTCCAGTTGGCTTTTCTCTCTCCCCTGTTGTTTCCTCAACTAAGAAGGAAGGATGACAAACACCTGGAGGCAGCCATTGCATTGCTGCTGCTCCCTGCACCTTGTTGTCTTCTCTGGGATTTGGGTACCAGAAGAAGAACCTGTTTGGTGGGTCTGATTTGAATCTGGATAATGGAAGCAGCACATCAGTGTGTAGAGATGAGCAGACTCAACAGATGGATTAAAGCTTCAGGTATTGCCTGCTGTCACTCAGACTGCATCCACGCTTTCCCCGTGCTATGAAGCCTCCGTTTGGAGTTTTGTTGGGTTTAATTCTGGTGGTACCTCCATCAGCGCACAACAATTGCGCGTGTGAGACCAACAAGTTGATGTGTGCTGTTAAGTAATGATGGTATTTACAATCCAGACTGGGAGGACAGTGGTATCTTCAAAGCCAGGCAGTGCAGTCAGACCAATGCTTGCTGGTGTGTGAACACTGCTTGAGTGAGAAGAACTGAAAAGGGTGACAGAAACCTCAGTGGTGGTGAACTGATGAGAACAAACTGGATCTACATGGAGCTGAAGCACAAAAAAGGTCCAGTGCCTTCGATGGTCCCGATGTAGTGAATGCCTTGAAACATCTGTTTGAGAGCTGACGCAAACTGCACCCCAAGGACATCACAGCCAGTAAGTATGTGTTCCCAATTATCCCAATCCACCTGACCCAGCATGAGAAACCCAGGTGTGTTGTGGATATAGCTGATGTAGCCTATTACTTGGAAAAAGTTATAAAAGATGACTCCATATTTCATTCTATCAGTGCATGAACTGCCTGTGTCAACAGAGATGCTCTGGATGTTGAAAATCTACAAATTTACTACGTTGGTGAAAAGCCACTGCACTTTTGTATACAGGAGCTGGGAGCTGGCTTTGGTGGTGTGGGGACAGTGGTGATGCTGACTGCTGGCATGGGCATTGCTGTGCTGGCTCTTCTGAGGTGGCTGAGGACAAGAAAATATGAGAAAGGTGAGATTAAAGAAATGGCTGAAACAGGAGCATTGAGCTTGCAGCTCTGGAAAAGGAAAGGCAACAACAAGAAGAAAAGAAAAAAGACACAAAATACAAATAGCAAGCAGGCTCTGCCTCTGGGTGGATTTGGAGAGGTCTTTTGTACAGGAGTTTGTATAGTGATCGTTCTAAATTATTCTACTTTAGTAAGAATTACTTTTTTGGTGTTGGGTGAAAACTAATTTGGGAGGCAGTTACCTAAATATTCTGAGACCCAGTTGAGAGCCTAACAACTGTTGCAGCTGTCTAACGTAGAATGCTTTCCCTGGTACTGCAGGCCTAGTGCAGCTTGTTTCAACACTCTGAGGGTGGTTACTGATGTTATCTACTTACTGGTATTCAAGACTTGCTGTGGCATAATTGGGATGTACAGCTGCTTTTCTGTTGGTAAAGGCTGTTTTTAAAGTGTTGTGTTTCTTTTAAAGTTGCTGTTGCTTTTCTTTATCAACAAATAATGTCATAAATATTACTAAATAACCAAATCAGTTGGTGATGAGAGACTCCACCTCACTGGAGGCTTTTATACAAAGTCATTTGTTAGGAAACATTCCTGCGATCCCCTCCAGGTGTGGAGATCCCAAGTTTCCAAGTTTGTATTTAGGCAGCACAGTGAGTTATTCCCACTTGTGCTCTTTAATAGGGGTCTGATACTCCTAGTCAGCAAAGATCCCTTGATCCCAGTGCAAGTGTAAGCTAACCTTGGTGTTCCGCCCAAACTCCAGCTCTGGTAATAGCTTTCTGTCTCCCTAAATTCCCCTTGCAGTTTTAATGGGAGGAGATAGTTTTCAGTGTTGTACAGCTTCCCAGAAATACTCTACAATGCTTCAGGGCAAGCTGAAAAAGAGCTTTATTCTACTAGAGCTGCAGGGGGAATTTAAAGAGCAGAGTGTAATTACTGAAGTTGGAATTTGGCCAAGACACTAGAACTGGACTTCTTTGCTACCTCCTCCTCTGCTGCATTCCGTGTTGGGGAGGTCATGTCCACCATGAAGGACATTTGAAAGAAAATAGTTGTGAAATGTTGGAATACTGGCAGTTATATTCTCCGTACTGCATATGGATGTCAGAAGTCCCATCAGTCTGATCTGCTTACGTTTGGAATGAGACTGCTACACCCAGGCACTGCAGCAGGGGCACTTCTTCATTCTGCTCATTAGTTTCTATGTTACTTGTTTGTAATTCTACTAGCAGTGAGGAATGTGCTACTTCCAGGGCAAACTGTTAAATATGCACCTTTGATTCTACTGAATGAACAGGATAGCAGGAAAAGTGATGAAATTGCTTTGATTCTCTTTCTGCCATGGTTCAGATAGAAGAGGAAGAGACTTGCTGTCTGGGAGTGTTTAATATTTTTGGCTCAATATATACCATTTTCCTTTAATCTCATCCTTGTTAGCTTACCTGCTGGAGAAATTTGGGCTTTGGATACATAAAACGCAGCAGATGCATCTCCAAAATAAGATTTTTATGCAATTGCATCAGCAGTATAAATATATTCCCAAAGTTTTGGAGCAGGGGCTATAATTTATTGTGTGCCTTATGGCAACATGTCCAAGCTTGTTGTTTTTCAGTCAAGTATATACAGTAGTACTGACAAGAGATGAAGTGAGAATTTAGTATCTAGGCTGAATTTTCCCAAGTCATAGGAAAATTCAGAACTTGGGCTAACTTCCCGCAAATCTGAAATTGGGCTTCTACAAAATGATTAAAAATCTGGAGCTGAGTAGCCCTTAGTGTTGAAAAAATGTAGGATGAGAGTAAAAATTTACCAGTACATAACTTATGCGAGGTTGGTGCTGTCTCTCCATCAGAGATCACGAGATGTGCAGTCTTCTCTGGGGATCTACTGTGGCTTTCAACTTTCTTTTAAAATCACTCAATTTTTCTCATTTCTGTCATAAGAAGCATTTTCAAGGTGAATGATGAGATTTTTTATTAAATGGAATATAAACATGTAGCATAATTCTGAATAGGAGAGGCAAGAGTGTTTAGTTGTTGAAAAAAATCTGAGCAGATGATAGTTTTAGCATCTTTCTTTGGCTCCTGGCTTTTCTTTCTAGAGGCTGAGATTGAGAAGGGAAGCTGTTGTGGTGCCATTCATGTTTTTATTAATCATTAAAGGATTAAGAAATGGAAATCACGTGTTGTGGTCAGTCATTTCCCTGCTAATCACCCAGCACCACTAGAGTGCATGCTGCCAGGGGACGGGAAATGCACGCGGGTCATTTAACAGGAGTGATAAGGTGTGTGTCTGCAATTAATCACCAGAATGGGAAGATTAATTATAGTGCAGAGCTCAAAGAACCTCTCTTTGGACTAGATCATTTACTTGAATAAAGCTACTGTGGGCTCTGGACTTGAATAAACTAAACATACCCATTGCTCCTGCTAAGTGCTCATTTCTCTCCTGCTGCTCCAGTCATACGGCCTCTCAGGCTATATATTAATCTCTTTTTTGCACATGGTAGGTCAGGTATTTCACTGGAACACTCCATGATGCTCAGCTTGTTTGACTTTCTGTCCACTGCTGATGTTCTCACTGAAAAGAAGAAAATCAGTCATTCAGCAAAATTAAAATGCTTTATATCATTAGTTCTAATTTAGAAATTTCTAACTGGAATTCCTAGTTAGCCTTTTCCTGGTTTAATGGTGTGTTTGTTTGTTGTATGTAAATTCTATATTCTTTGTATTGGGTTCTGTGGGTACAGCCAGCATGGTGATAGTGATGGTGGGTTTATGTTCTCAGTGGCACTGGCTGACAGCTTTCAAGCAGTGCCTGGAACAATGTGATTAACATCAATCTTGTATCAGCTTCTGTGGCATCTGCTTAGGCATAAATGTATTCAGGGGATTGTTTTGTTTTGGAATGCTGTTTTAATACTCCATAGCTATAAATACATCCGTATTTATTCATCTATGTAGATGCAGAAATAAATGCATAGCTGATAGGAAGGAGTGCTCTGTGTCATTATGTACCTGGATTGTGTAACAGAGGGTTATGCTTGCTTTAATGAAGGTCGAGCTGTCTGTTGCCTAAATTATGTTCTGCAATTCCAACTGCCTTAAAAAGTGCAAAATATCTATTGGCAGAGAAAAAAGTCCTGTCTCTGTGCTACAACTCTGAAAAGGACGGTGCTGCCCTTTCATTCAGGGCTACCGCCTTTGTGCAACTGCACAAAGTGAGTTTTGGCCTTTGCTTTTAACTTTTAGTTAAAACTTTAGTAACCACTCAAGATCTGAGGACAGTGCCAGGAGCAATGCCAGCACTACAGCAAGGAAACGAAAGATAAGGATTCATAGAAAGATTAAAACCCTCTTAAACTCTGTTCCCTCTGGTAAAATCCATGCCTGCTTATATATGCAAGTATGCATTCTCGAATGCATTGACACAAAATCCCTGCTAACGACTGGTGTGCGTACACACCTATACTTAAAGACACATGCATCACTGTTTGTCAGAGCAGGCAAGCCCTAGGGAAAGCTTTGTGGCAGCAGATCCTACACTGCACTCAGCCAGCCTGCAGCCTGCTCTAGCTCTTATCAGTAGTAAATAGCCCAGACCTGCTGCCTTTTTGGAACAACAGAGAATCCTCTTCTTGTCCCATCTTCCCCTGATTAAGAATAATCTCTTTGTGGATGTTTAGATTGGGATTACGGCCAGATTAGGGTAATGATGTGAAACAAAATGCCTGCTGTATGAATGCACTCAACCCCTCTCCTGTTTAGATGGTAAAACACCAGCGTATCTATGAAGGTAAGCACTTAGTGACAACAAAAGGTAAGATCCCCCCAATAGTCTTTCAAATGCTTAAACCTTAGGGAATCACCTCAGAAAAAAAAAAAAACAAACCAATTTCTATTGCTTGAATATCGAATCCACTTTCTCACAGAATAGTTAAAGAAGAAACAAATTGTCCCTTCCTCCACTTCTCCTTAATTGGAGCAGTTAATGTCATTAAACAGACAGGTATAATTATCTCTTCCAAAGCATTTCCACTGCTTTGCCTCAGGCTTTTAAGTACTGCAATTACCTCTTTTTTTTTTTTTTTTTTTTTTTTTTTTTTTAATGGTAAAATTAATCTTAAGTCATTACAATTGCTATCAGAGCAGGAAAAATCAACTTCCAGAACTTTGACAATTCTTATTCAGCAGTTCGAGCAAAATTCCTTGTACCAGGATTTAGCTGGTTAAAATTTCACACACACCAGGCAGCCTGACAAGATTCACATCTCATTTCCATGAGGATCCCTGCTCCCTGAGGGATAACACTCCTACAGTGCTACTCCAGCACAAATCAAGTGCCACAGAAACAATTAGGAGACGTGGTAGTCTCTAAATGAAAGACCAAATGAGAATGCATTTCTGATTTTTCCACTGGGATTTGTACAGGTGGGCTCCACAGGACATGTGGTGGCACACACATACACTCAACCTTTCTCAACTTTTCCAGCTGTTTTTCATTTTAAATAAGTGTCCTTGTAAGAGTTGAAATGAGAAATCTCAGCATTTCTGCTAGTCTGGTTGCACCCAGAAAAGCTAAGTGGAACAAGTGGAATGTAACTGGATGTGGCTATGTTACAGCCACTGTGCAGTGCAGACACCCTGATTTTTAATACAAGGCTGTTGAGTTCTCCTTTCTTCTTCCTATCTTCATGTGCTCTTTTCTGTTGTTGGAAATGGCTTTATAACTCAGTTCTGCTGAAGGACTTAAGTAAAATGTCTTGGGTATAGAAAGTTAACGAATGCTCTTTTTTCAGTCTCTCCAAGTAAATATTGCATTCTAGACATCTAGTAGAAGAAATTCGTGCTATTTACTATTTTCACTGATGTTTATATGCAGGTCAGCTGCTTTAAAAACAGTTCATAGACTCCCAGACTGGTTTGGGTTGGAAGGGACCTTAAAGCTCATCCAGTTCCAACCCCATGCCACAGGGAAGGACACCTTCCACTAGAGCAGGTTGCTCCAAGCCCCTGTGTCCAACCTGGCCTTCAACACTTGTAAACACTTACACATTATG